TCGCACCATCTTTTTGGGCGTAGCGGCAGATATGGTGCAGGAATCTATCCGTAGGACAATAAAAAAGTATTGCCGCCCGGTGGCAAAAACAATTGTAGTTGTCCTGTGTCTATGTTTATACACCAACGTGCTTTCTACAAAGAAACGTTTGCTTACACCGCGTGTAGGGACTGTGTGTCTGCAGAAACAAGATTCATGTGATCACCCGCGCATGCGCAGTACCGACAGCGCGGCCAGCAAAATATAATACTGTTGAAATATACCGCGACGTACTACAAACGTATTTAAACTGTACCTCGTATTTACGACTGCGCAAAACATAACTAAAACATACTCCTACCACAATAATACTTAAAAACAAGCGAGCTGGTGAGGAGTCATGGTAATAAAATTCGAGACTGAGGAACACAAAAGGGACGAACACAACACACCGTCTGAAACACAGGTGAAGGTTTATTTGTCAGACACTCGTTTAAGAAGGCGAGCTCCCCCATTGCTCCAACCGATATCCACAGTCCCGAAGGTCAGGCGGCTTCCTTCCGTCCAGTCCACGTCAGCAGCCCTCCTCGCAAACACAACCATCCACATGCGCTAGGCGCCACAGAGTTTATGAGAACGTCCACGCAGTTGACTTATCACCCTCCACTGCCACCACTGCTAAACCCCCTCCCCCCTTCCTCGCAACGCTTCCTTGCTCACCACCGTCGAATCGTACACAAGCACAGCACTCAAATACACCCCCTTCCCGTCTCCCCCTCTCCCCCTTTGCAGTTGCCGACGTAAACACAAAACTCTAAAACACATGGGGAGGCCCACCCATTGAGCCAAAATGGGCCGCAAAGTAACCTCAAAGCCGTACAGTTTGTGCCCCTATCCGCCCGTCTCCCTTTTATGCAATTACTCAAGTTTAATTACTGTTACCAACACGCTCGTTTTGTACTTACTTATCCCCGACGTTCCCAAAAACCTAGCCCCCGTTTCCTTTATTTCAGTCTCCTTCCAATACCTTCAAAAAGGAAAAAAAAAAGGTCAATTTTGCTTATCCTTTCTTCTGGATCACACCCGTCATGGAGACGAAAACTCCGTTTCTGATATAGGACCAGGTTAGGTTGTCTAAAGAAACGGAAGGCTTGCTTATGCAGTTCCCAATACTCCGTATTCTAATGGTCTCCCTCAATATCTTTTTAGTCGCCTCTTTTTTACTGTAGATACTTTCTGTTCTGGCCCACTCCGGGTGGCACCCATTGCACTCCTGAACATGTCTGGGTATTTCTGAATTCTGAGCCCTCAATTCTACTGCCCTTTGGTGCTCTAATAACCGGTCGTTTACACATCTTCCTGTTTGGCCGACGTAAGTAAAACCACATGTCAATGGTATACCACAAACTATCCCTTCGCGACCCTCTACTTCTCTATTTCTGTGTATTTTGGGGCACCCGCTCACCCCTCCCCTGAATGGGGTTAGTCTGCTGATTTTAAAGTCTGGTCTGAAAACCACAGTCACGTTGAAATTTTTAGCAAGAGCCTTCAAATAATGGGGAACCCAATGGTACAAGAGAATGCAAACTACATTGTTCATTTTTCTTTTACTCTGACCGTACCCGCCAAGCGCTGCAAACCCCTCGCGGCTACGCTCTCCACAAGCTCTCTATTGTATCCTGCCGCTAACAATCTAGATACTTGCGCCTGCACAGCCTCCGCAACCTTTGCGCACCAGATTTACTGAGCGCACTATACAACAGTGAAGCGGCAGCACCTCTCTTGACCGTCCTGGCATGGCGATTCATGTAGGCCAACAATGGCCTGGGTTCATCCCTGCCGTGCCTTCAGCACAAACCGTTCGTCGAACTTATCTTAACATCCTGAAACTGTGGTGATTCATTTTTTTGGAAATTCTGTTACAAAGGCCAGCTCAGGCGCCGCGTTTCGGATGAAATCCACAAGCATCGCTAAGTCACAGCCTCTCGTCCTACAAACCAAGATGTCATCGACAGGGCATTTCCCTAAAGCAGTCCCACCTGACATCGACATCAACACAGTTTTGACTTTCAGACCTAAAATCCTTAAAGGGGCCCTGCAATGACTTTTTGACTGGTTTTTAATTTGCACTGAACCTGAGCGTACTGATCGTAGTAACTTAATCCAACTTTTCTTTTCTCAAATTTCGCTTTATTTTAAAAGTTATAGGCAAATTAGAATTACAAAAACAATCAAAAAATAACCTCCTTCATGACGTCGTTGGTCCTGCCTTGAGTGGCCTTGAACTAGAGGAGGAGTAGTGAGCTCATCGAGCGCATACGGCTGCCGCACTCCGTGTCGACGGCTCTAGAGGGCGCCACTAAAGCATGTGGTGGATAGGCTGTATGAAGCGGGCGGCCAGGACAGCTCGTATTGCATTTGCAGCGCGACTAAACACTAATTCGGCGTAGCATTTCATTGGCCACAAACGACAACAAACAAGGGGTGAAGATCAGTTCAGAACGGGAGCCACTTCGCGCTGACGCACCGCCAAATGGCCAAATCGCCAACAGGGTCCGCGCCGAAGGCCTTCGGAACGCTCGGAACCGGTCGGATTCTTGAGCCGGTATACGACCACAGCACCGCCGCGTACATCCGGGACCTTTCTACTCTCCTCGTTTGCCGTAGCCTCATCCCACTAGCCTTTTCTAGTATGCGCCGGTTTTCTTCTGCCGCTTGGTGGCGGGTATGTCGACGGGTCATTTCTCGTTTCCGTACTTTCTAAACTGCATTTGTTTCTTTTCTGATCTAAAATAGTGAACAAAAACTACTTTCATACATAATTGAAACGGTTCGCGACACTTATATTTTGTATCTCGACTAAAAAAAAAGGCTTTGAGCAGTGACAAGCCCAGGACCAAAGATGTCACATTTTGCGCGCTTTCGGTACAGGGGGTTGCCCTCGTCGGTGGAGGAGGTTTCCGCGTCGTCCGGTTAAAATATGACGCACTGATATTTGGTTACTCTCTCCGTCTCCGCTGGCTTGCCCCAACCCCAAGAGACGTGGAAACCGCAAAAAAGGTAGACGCTTAAATATGATTGCAGGGCCCCTTTAAATAAATTCCAGAAAGAATGGGCGCCAATTGTGGACCATGCACTGTACACACCTTTTTTCTGAACCAGTTTCCTTCTTTCAAACCCCACAGCCGGTGACCGACAATTACCTCTCCAATAACACCAAGAAGCCACTAATGCTCATGTTGTAACTTGACTGAAATTTGCCTAAACCTAACTCGAGCCAATCCCTCACACGTTGCAACAGCACACACTGGTCCAATGAATAGTACAAATCTTTGGTATCCAAAGACCCCACTCGGCAATCTTTCCGGTGAAACACCTCCAAGCGCTCCAACAACTCGTCCGAATTCCTGAGCGAAAGAGGGTTTTGCAACGGCAAGACCGAGAGCCCTTTCAACGAAAATTACGAAAGTACCTTTCGCCACGTCCCACCCTCATTCATGACAATCCGCAGAGGCAGTGGTGGCAGTGGAGTGTAATAAGTCGACTGCGTGGATGTTTCATAAACTGTGTGCCGCCTAGCGCATGTGGATGGTTGTGTCTGCGAGGAGGGCTGCTGACGTGGACTGGGCGGGAGGAAGCGGCTTGACCTTCGGGACTGTCGATATCGGTTGGGGCACCGGGGAGCTCGCCTTTTTAAAGGAGTGTCTGACAAATAAACCTTCAGCAGTGTTTGAGACGTGTTGTGTTCGTCCCCTTCTGTGTTCCTGAGTCTCGGGTTTTATTACCATGATACCCTAACCAGTTTTTCTTACTTTTATTAAAATAATTCCTAGAAATGCCCTGAAAATACTATACCTAATACGATGTGCGGACCACACTTTAAGTAATCTGAGATGCATAAATCATAAATCACAATATTAAGATTATGTTGCAAAAATCCTTTTTTTTTAAATAATAATGCAATGCTCGAAGCATACACTTCAGATATAAAAAAAATGCTCCTCAAAATTAGAGAATACACAGAGGAAATGCACAAAAAATGGGCATTGATACTCGTTCGCCTTTTAGAACTGCCGGCCTTTTTTCGAGCTGTTGCATGACTAGAAACGTTTTCGAATTGCTGCTCGTCCCACGCGTTTTAAGTCGGATAGAAGTTGCCTGATTTCATTTTTTTTTTGTATAAACGTGAATGAAGTTCAACACCGCAGTGCAGTTCGTTAAAGAGTCTTGGGATTTCATGCACCCCGGAAACCTTGTCAGTTTCTCTCTTGGCCATTAATAAGAGGCGAAATAATAAAAGTATTTACCTAAACAACTAGAACAAGTATTTAAATGGAAATAATTATGCGCTCTTTTTTAATAGGGTTGATTTGTGCTGCCGAAAAGAAATAAACAATTCGTAACGGGAGCCATGGGGCGAGAAATTTCGCCCTTGCAAACTGCATCAAACCTAAGCTCTGCATTAATAGCACCACCACATCAAGTCCACCCACCATACGCTCCGCAAACAATGCTGGCTGTAATAGAGCTTCGTTTACACGATTATTTTTAGTCCTGGAAGTGGCGGATGTTTTCCATTTTGCAGTACCTACCTCGATTTCTTTTAGTTTCTTGGCAAGGCGCATTATATTAAAGTTGTGCGTTACTTCTCCAAATAAAATATGACCCAAAAATGAAAATTTATTACGCGAGGTACACTTTTTGATTGGGTTAGCTGAATCATTAGTTCATTCCGTCTCTTTTATAGTGGCTGCGATTAACCCAAATTTAAACCCATGGCTAAAAAAAACCTCTCGCAAGTTCCTTTTTAAAACCAAAAATTTGGAGGGTATAGGATAACCCTTCTTGGATAAATACATGTGGATATAGAAAAATATAACTTTAAAATAGCATTCTTGGTAAGTGAAACAACATACCAGCTCAGACTGCGTCAATCTCTATGTTAGATAGAGTAGTATACAATTCTAGATACAAACGAATGTGAGCTGCGGCTATCGCATAGATGCAGTTATCTGAGGAGAATGCATTACAAACACAAGGTGGTGACTTTCAGTGATTTGCACAGTTTCAATCGGCAAGAAGATTTTATATTGATGTACGTGAGTTACGTTAAACGTATTGCTAACTGTTGGTACGTTCTATGCAGGTGCTGCCTGATTGCGACGATGATCACCCTTATCACCTTGATCGTTCCCTTTGTCGCCTTAATGACAGTTTTTAGATCACTAAGCTCCCAAAACTGTTTTCAAGTGGCCTTGGTCATAGGAGATGTGATTGGCACGGCAATGAATTTCCAAAACGCTGGTAGTACTCATCACACCATAGCGTTTCTAGGTGTTCCTTTTGCCGAAAACACCGGAGGAGAAAAGCGATTCGGAAAACCCGAGGCTAAAAAGAGATGGCAAACAGTGTTCAACGCAACGTACAAGCGGAGCCCCTGCTGCCAAGAACTCACGTCAGGCAAGGAACTATTTAGGGCCTCGTTATCTGACACTACCGAGGATTGCCTTCATTTGAACATCTGGGTTCCGACTGATTGCATGGAGGGAATTCAGAGGTATCCAGTCGTCTTCTGGGTTTATGGTGGTGGTTTCGAATATGGAGGAAACAACTACGACATCTACGACGGCCGTTATATGTCGGGATTCGGAAATTTAGTGGTCGTAGTACCCAACTACCGCATCAATGCGTTCGGATTTCTCAACGTTGAGACACAGGATGTGCCTGGAAACATGGGATTTCACGATGTGATTTTGGCGTATCGATGGGTGTTGGATCACATCGGCCGCTTTGGAGGCGACAGAGAAAACATAGTCCTTGCTGGACAGAGTGCGGGTTCTATCATTGCAGGACTCCTTATGATGAGCCCCATATTACCGCCATCGTTCTTTTCGAAAGCGTACTTGATGAGTGGCTCAGTGTTCATGAAGCTGCAAGAAAATTCGAATGAGACTGCACTCGAAAACTTCAATAAGCTTGCTAATGAAGCCAACTGTTCGATGACAACGACGACGGAAACTGTGCGTTGTCTAAGAGCAAAAACGAGCGAAGAAGTTCTAGCTGCTCACCTGAGAACTAAGCATATGTTCTCCCCCAGCTACTTTGATGAGATTTTACCCAGTGATATAAAAACCCTAATTAAGTCGTTTAATGCCTCAAATAAACGTCTTATGCTTTCAACAACTCGGTTAGACGGAAGTGCTTATTTCGCCAGCAAGTTCAGGGACGTGGTCGAACAGGAATTGGAATTCACTCCCACCATGCTTAAGGACAAATACCCCTCAATGTTTGATAATGTATATATGCTCGCGTCTTTTGGAGGTGCCTACAACATATCTCAAGATGACTACATGGGGTGGAAAGAGATATTTACCGATGTTTTGTATCGCTGTGTGATGGAGTTAATGGGAAAGCTGTTCGACCAACAAGGCGCCACTGTCTACTTCCAAGAGTTTTGGCCCAAGCCTTCTTTCGTTGACTCCAGTGGAGTGTACGCTTCCCATGCTGACGACGTCTACATGTTGTTCGGATATCCGTTCCTCTATCCTTTGTTGGCAACGGACATCGAGCGAAAGACTTCTCTTCGGATGATTGGTACACTTGCCGCTTTCGCCAAAGACGGGTAAGAGCCAATTTTTTTATATATAATGCACTTGCTTGGTCTGTTGTGTTATAATAAAACCGGGTCCATATGGTGAAAAAAAATTAATTATGGTATGTAGTGTCCAAATAGACAGCTATCGCAGACTAACAAATAATTCAATATTTCGGATGTTCACTATGTGCTATATGTGAAAAAGCGCAAGACATATTGTTTCTCTTTGAAAGTGTCAAAGTTTGAACACTAAAGTTCGTTAGGTTTGGTGACGGTAATTGACTTGTTTTGATAAAAAAGCAAGTTATTGAAAAATCATCCTGGTTTTGTAAGTACACGCTTTGCGTGTGGGATGGTGTCTGCAGTGGTTGTAACTTTTTAGAACATCTAAAATAAGATATATCTCCACCGGCGTTGGTCATCGCCTTAGAGTCAAAAGTTTATTAGAATAAATATTACGGATATGGGGAACACAAGTCACACCTGTACGCGCACGATGCACGTAGCGCGAAGAAAAAACCGTGCCTTCCATCATTTTCTTTCAATATTAAGCAAGCTATCTTCGGAATTAAGGATTTTTTTAAATGTTGAAATGATGTATTTAAAATCATGGGTGTAGTGTGACGTGTTTACTCGAAGGACTAATTCAATGCGTACAATTTAGTGCACGTAAAACTTGTCATTACAAAAAAAAAAAAAAGACTTAATAATTCGTGCATTGTGTTTTGTGCTCCTTAAAACCCTTTGCGCCTGAGTGTTTTTATCATAAATCAGCAATTATTATGTAATATGTATATCTAGATCCAATTGATTTGTTCTGTGTCGCTTGTCAGAAAATGACTATTTTTTATTGAAGAGAGTACATGAATTCAAGTGTATTATTTTCTTATTTACTTCGATGGTGAAGTGCACAGAGTATTTTGTGGCAAGGCTTATTGTTATGAATTAGAATGAGCACTGAATGAGTTTGTCCTTTTTTGCAAAAGAGGACTGCTCTAAAATTTCTTTCTGGGGGGCGTTGCATTGTAGGCCCTCACACGGGGATGATTTCTCTCTTCTCATGATTATCTCACTTCTGGAAACGTCCCTCCGTCCCCCTTCTCTTTCTCTCTCCCCCCCCCCCACCCTCTTTTCCTTTAGTGCCTCATTACAGTTCGACCAAGACTACAGAGCGCCATACCATTAATGTCATCAAGTGCGATTGCAAATCCATTGCTTTTATCACAATGACTAAGCCAGGAGATTTGAACAAGAGGTTCACTATGACAAACAACCGTTTAACTGTCCTTTAATCAAATATGAATGATCGATTCCTGAATACTGCAGTTAATGCGTCATACGTCTTCAAATGTAATTTCTAATGCGGAATGATTCTGTTTTTAACCAGAGTTTTTAGATTCATAAAATGAGAATGCTCTACACTGCACTTGAAGAACGTTAACTTCTAAAATTGTCCATAGTTGCGACAGTACAAATGTCGTCACATTCCTTTACAACTTTACTGGACGGCGCGATACAGCAGTAAAAATGTATAAATTACTGATCACATGAACGAAGAGGTTTAAAATGGTTTACAGGAACGAATCATGTTGTTCGACGACAAATGCATCTATAGCCGTATTCACTAGTCGTGACTAACTAGCGCTGTTTTAAAGTTAGTATCACTTCTGAGTAGTCACGAACTATTAGATAAAATTGGCGACTAAGGATCGACTAGTTCTGCGGTATTCACGAGTGTGGAGAGAGTGAGTGGCTCTAGTCAGAACTAACAAGCGGAAGTGGCATAAAAAGGTTGGTCGCGCATACGTGTACTTTAACTCGGCTGCGCAAAAGGGTATTTTATTGCAGAAAAACTAATATTCAAACGTTTTTCATGAAAAAATATACAATAAGAGGCTAATCGTCCAAAACAGTGTTTCACAAAAAAAGAAACGCAAGAGGAGAACACGAAAGCCGCATTACCAGCGACGTAAACAATAATGGAAGCGCCCGAAACTGCGTTTTCTCTCGACGTCCAGCGCCCTGCTGAGATCTTTTAAGCGGTATCTCTGAACGTTGAACATAGCTATTTAAACAATATTTGTTCCCCCAATTTCTCCAAGATGTGTCCACCCGCGTTCCTAAACAGTAAGTTCTTGATTAGCGCTGGCGGTCAGGGGTGATACGAGTCGGCCGTGGCGCTGAGAGTCACCCACAGAACACCGGATATCCAGCTCTACTCTATGACTAAGATTTGTTAGTTCACTTTGTAGCCGCGCTGGGCGACTAGGCCCTAAACACGACCGATGACTACCAAGCGCTCACTTAGCGGCGATTATCACTCGAAACGTGATCATTTTAGTCGATGGCGTCACCAGTCGCTCATGGCGCCTGGGCAATACGAATGATAGTGTTTTTTTTTTTTTTTTTTTTTTAATTCTCGAATTGTTAATACCAGTTAAGCACACATACGGTAAACTTGTACTAAAAGATCACCAATGTTCGAGGCCGCAAATGTTGAAAAAGGACCACGGTCGACAAAATAATAACGCATGGTTACATGTGTCATTCTGTTTTTAAGTCGAGAATATGAGGAAACTGCGCGCAGATAAGTAAATACGCGTCGCCACGTATCACAAAACTTTTAAAAAAGTAAACAATTCCTATAAGACTTGAAAACAACATTTCGCGGGTGTCGAAATCAGCGGCAAAAGCTACATTTTAAGCACTACCTTCTAGAAGCACGCAGCCACCAAAGATCTGTACCACCTAGAGCAGCAATCACACAACTCCAACATGTGACAAAAATCATGGTGTTCGCTGCAGAGATGACAACATTATCTGCGGGGATGCCTAGCGCATGTTACATGCATGATTGTTTCACATGGCCGTGTGCTTCAAACACCTATGGAGACAGTTTTTGTGTAACTTATGTGAGAGGATCATCATACAAGAAAGACACACGCCTAAGGCAGCGTACGCAAATTGTTTTTTTTTTTTATGTATAGGAAGTTTGACCGCGTCGAAAGGCCTCACGCACGTCGTTGTAGCGTTAACTGTTCTTCTGATTTAGATCGCACAGTGTTCGATGTCCTTGTGTTATATAAATTATGTTCGTAATAATTCGAGCTTTTCTTTTCAGGAAGCTACCTCTACTGGAGGACGGCAGCCAGTGGCCCGAGTACTCAAAAGCTCGCGGGTTTCCTGTGGTAGAACATCGTCATTCAGGCTACTCCAATACGGAACCAAACCGAAACTGTGTCGCTGCACTATCATTAAATTGTGATAGCAAAGTCTCTCGATTAACCCCGCTTTTTTAGAATATATCCGAAAATTCGTTCGCTACTAAACGAGAGGGGAAATAACGGCTACAGTTAAGCGCTTACTTTTATGATGTAACTTCTGCTTGCAAAGACAGAACATTTAAACTTGGAAGCAAACGTTTTTACCTAGCGTATTTCTTGTCGACATGAGAACCGGTGAGACTGTATCACAATGTAGTGCTCGAGAGCTCATCGTCAAAATACAATAAATGGTACAGCAGCAGAGTATTAAAACGTTGAACGGTTAGCACCTAGTCCTTTCCTGGCAACATTTAAAAACACCATGTAGAGGCAGACCAGATAAGCTGTGCTAGAATTTTCTTCAACTATTGATAGTCGTCGAGTGCCCGCTAGAAGACGTCTCTGATCAAACGTAACTGCGAATATCCGTTGTGCCACCCATCACTTTAGCCACGCCTTGCAAATCCAAAGTTTGCGATATGTCATAGACGGTGATGAGGCGATGGCTTCCATAGCTGATATGGATTTATAAAACAACACTGAACTATGTTTTTTCATGCGCTACCTAGGCCAATGATGTTGTGTTGTAGTATATGAAACAACTCGAGGAATGGTGCATAGCGAATTGAGAAAAACTTGTGAGTGAGTTTGATCGAAGGTTGCTTCAGGCAGCAAGAATGACCGCTCGATGGAAGCTTTATTGTCATCGCAAAATTTCAAACAATATTTAAATAAAATACTTCGTTACACACTGTCTCTTGTTTATTTTTTCCTTGGTGTAGTTTATTCGCAAAACACGAAAACAACTCCCGCCGCAAACTATTCTTCTGATATATTTTCGAAGTATTACATTTTACTAATAATTTCACCACAAATCGGACAGTTAAATCACTTGCCTTAGCTTGCCATTAAAGTATTGAAAAAGAATCGCTTTTTTTAGAGATGAACTGTTTTTTAACTTGTTTTTTTTTTAGTTCGATTTGGTATTTAACAATCTAAATGTACTGCCTTGCTACCTGTTCATGTCACCTAAATGAGCTTTTGTGTTTATACTAGTTACGTTCTACCTGCTAAAATGCATTGACAGTTCATGTTGCTTTTGTAAAGAAATAAATGATACCACCAGACACCTGGATTCTCGTACCGAATGATAATTTTCATCTCCTTCTGTCTTTTTTATTGCTCTTGATTATGTACCTTTATTCAAGGTTCTTTTGTATAATTTTTTTTATGAAAAACATGTTTAGTACACCAATATAATTAATAGCTCCTAATGTGCCATTATTAACGCTGCATTATAGGCATAATATATGAGCGCTCAAACCGCCGCTCTGAGACGGGTGACGTAAATAAAAAATAACAAATCAATCATTTCGTCTATTTTCGAACACTTGATGGAATTCATGGCAGTTGCAACCTCATGGTTTATACTTGAGTTTAGGTTTCACAGGATATATAAGAAAAGCGCTCATCTCCGGTTCACTGGCAGAGCTCGTGTAATGTAATAATACTATCTTGTGCTTTGCTGCTTTCCCTTTTCTGAATCGCCGTTGAGTGCTTTGCTCAGCGTTCCTTAATTGCCTCTTTGCTTTCGTCAGTTTACTGGAATATAGAAGATGGGCTACTACTACCATATTGATACCACACACACCAGGACTCCTGATAAAACCCGTAAGTAAAAAAAAAAAGGCTCGAGGTACACTTAGAGACCAACGACCATGCACTTCGCGCTTTCCACTTTTCCCCTACTTCCTGCTTTCCCCCTTCTACCCTGTCCACCGTTGCCTGTTTCCTTCTCCCCCGTGGGCAGGAGGATCTTCTGCCTTGCAGAATCTTGAGTCCGGTCGTCGGTTTTTATGCACTTTTTATGAGTTCTGAATGCGAATGCACGGACGCCACTCTTCGCTCTCTTTAACCTGCGGCGTACAACGCGCCGACCCTGGCCGTGGAACGGTGGAGCCGCTGCCTCGTTGACACGCAGCGCCATCGGGTGAGGGATCGTTCAAACTGTCCTGTGCCTTGCGGCGCGAAGAAGGAACAGCCAGCAACGTAGTTCCCAGCAGACCGAACCCCATGATTTATTCCATGCGTCGTATACATTCCCACGCGCCGTACAACCGAGAAAAGGCGAGCGAACGCGGTGATCAACGATAACACAGTCAGGACGACACCACTCAAACTGACGCGCAGCGGACAATGGGAGCCTCGTCGACGAGCGCCACCCAATGGGTCGAAATGCAACAGATGCCTTTGATTAGCTTTGCGCGGGGTTTCATTAACGCGCGGTTTTGAATGGTTTCAAAGCTGATGACGTCGGCTCGCTTCATGAGTGAGTTAATGCTTTCGCATTAATAAACCAGACAATAGATTGCACGAGGTGTGGCAAATAATCCACGAGACTGTCAACACTGTACTCAAACCAAACACGCTTTTACTTCACTTTTCACGTTGCATTTAGGCTAGCCTCTGCTGTAGAGAGTATAACTTTGAACTTGCTACAGTTGCTATGCGATTCTCGGGAGCGTGTCAACTGAAGTTGTGTTTGTGACGCATGTTAACAAAAATGGACCCGAAAAATGTCGACCACATTGTGCTATCGAATCAAAATCCAAATCAATATTATTTTGTTCTGTTCTTGTGACATTGCGGGGTTTGTCCACAACGAATTTCTGGCTCCAAGACAAACTGGGTCAAACTTCATAACCAGAATTTCTTCAAGGGCTCAAAAAGAGGGTGGCAACTGTGCGACATTACACGCACTTATATCCTGCTCTACGAAATCGCCCCATGTAAAATGGTAATCTCATCAATTAATATTTGACAGAAAAAAAACTTCTGTGGTTTCACAGCCAATCTATAAACCGGGTCTTATTCTTTGTGACATCTTTTTATGGAAGGCTCCTCAAAGACCACTTGAAAGGGTGCCATATTGCTACTTTGAATAATATCAAGGAGAGCGTAACCGAGTAGAAAGGCATCCTTGGAGAAGCCTTCCAGCTCTGTTACAAACAGTGGAAACAACGCCACCGCCGGTGTGTAGCTGCCCAAGGGAATTAGTTTGAAGGAAATGACCTTGATTTCTAAAATAATAAAATATATGCTCAAAAAATTAGTGTATTTACTTTTCTGCCACACCTCGTATATCTACGGGATTTCAGAAACATAAGATTGATTTTTTTTTTGTGATAAACAAATACAAAAAAATGACTACCAAACAGTTTTTCAACTTTGGCTTTTCAACGGATGTGCTTTTTTTTAACAGAAAACTATATAGACGCGTACAGATGTGATTAATATTGTCGCAGATGGGAACAGATTGATCAGCGTAAAAGTGGAAATACAGGATTAATCTGCGAATTTGTGTCAGAAACAAGGGAGAAAATGAGCGTCGCAAAACAAGCCGGCGTCGTGGCGTCGGTATGAGAGATGACTTGAGCGAGACTGCGAGAGTTAATCTCTCTTCGTACTGAAAGTAAGTCGGCAGAGCCGAGCGCGTCTACTTATCTACTGCGTTAGGTATTGAGAATGTTCAGTCTAGAATATTTGAGTTAGCTAGGTCGAGACTTACTTGGCAAAGTCACGTTGGCCTCCTTATTTTTTACATCGGGGGTTAGAGTAATCTCAAATCTTCAAGTATTTTGGAGAGGCGCTCCTTCTTCTTCGTGTTGGGGGCAGTATTTATGTTTGAAAATAGAACCCTAGTTAGCAAAAATCTCTGGGCCGAAATTTTCTTTTTTCTTGAAGTTCGGGGTCTTGAAAACTCCAACGAAGCTAAAAGAGGGTAAAACCTGGCCGTCTTTGGCAAGAGTCTGGGTATCTTAGACCTAATCTCCCACAGAAGTGGCAGAGTTAGGCTTTACCACCTGGCGTTTCCGATGTATTGTGACATTTTTGTGACAAAATACCAAAATAAGAGACAGAGTTCTAAGTTACGCATACTGCTAGGTACTTTAGCTGTTGTCTGGTAACTATAGGCGAAACAATTGATAATAGACTTTACTTCCTTGTAGTCCAGCTATCATCTGGCATCTTCGGGCATAAATCGGCATACAGATAGTACGGCTGTTACATGACATATTTTGCTCCAAATCACCAAACACGTTCCAGAGTTAGGCTTCACTTCCTGATAGACCAAATCTCATCTGGCAATTTTGAAAGAAAAAAAAAGATATCCAAAGCAGTGACAGAGTGACGCTTTATGCCTTGTAGTTGTTATGTTGTCCTCTCGCAGCCTTGGGTCCCAGTCACCAAACAAGCGTCAAAGTTGGGTTTCACTTCCCGATAGTTCGGCTCACATCAGGCATCTTTTAAACACACATCGTCAAACATGTGCCAGAGAGAGGCTTACTGCCTGATAGTTCGATTACTGCGCTGAAATGATGGGCTCAGGTTTCCTAAAGAATACCATTATTAAGCAAAGGGTTGCAGACGCGAGCGCATCTCTGTACGTGTCTTGTATTTTAGTTTTTCTTTAATTGATACCTCGCAAAGCCTGGCGATGATGAACGTAAAAGCGGTGGTGGCTCTGACAATATTGAAAACAAAGTGACCTTGGCTCTGTAGAACCGCGCCCGTTTTAAACTCAGCGCATGTGAGATCAAAGCATGATACTTGTAATGGTGGTTATTGTGGTGTGGTTGTTGGTGTTAAAGTTGGGGTTCGTGGTGGTGTTGGTGTTGGGACTGGTGTTGGTGTTGGTGGTGGTCATGGTGGGTGTTGTAGCGATGGTGAAGGCGGTGGTGGCGGGGGCGGGGGCGGCGGCGGTGGCAGCGGCGGCAAGGGCGTTGTGTTTTTAAGCATATGGCGATGATCCATTAAACTGATGACATCTGACCGTCGTGTTCTTTCCGCTTATTTTGTTTGTTTTGACTGTCGTCGCATAACAAAGACACGCCAAACTTGAGCATGTTCAGGGGTTTTGTTTTGGCATTTATGGGCAAGTTTTCGGCACTTGAGTGGCTAACTGCGACCAGTATTACATCACAGAAACCGGCCGAAAACGGAGTACCTGCCTCAAAAAGCACAGAAGAAACGTG